TAGGTAGATTTTTGATTTTTGATAATGTCAAAATAGGTAATTATTTGGCAAAAAATTTAGTATCAATAATATTTTTTGTTAATAAGTTAATTGCCTCTTTCTTGGAAAGAGACTATATGTTGTGATTTTTTGCTGCAGTTTAGTAATATAGTGAAAGGTAGCAGTAAAAGTAGTAATTGCAACGTTTAAGATTAGTTTTAACTTTGTTTTGTTTACAAACAAATTTTTCAGCTTGATCAGCCAACTTGTTCAAGGCTTTGGTATGAATAGGTTGGTCAAGTAAGGCAGCATGTTCTTTGTTTTTATGAAATAGTGTAGTATTGAAAATAGGATAATCTATGTTTCATTCTCTTTAAATGGGAATGATAAATGAGATTTGGTGAGTATATTATTGAAGAGTTTAGTGCTGTCATGAAATTTTTTGTTATTGAGATATTGACATGATTTGTTGTCACAAGTGAGACAATAGAAATTTGCAATACAAGATGTTTTCTCATATCACTTATGAAGTGAATTAGGTTTTTGGAATATATAAGATTCAGGAGATGCTTAAAGAGTTGGAGAATAAAGTGCTAATGGAATTGAATTTGGAGAGAAGTTTTAACTTTTTCTTTGTCAATAGTAGAGGAAAATTGTCAACTATAAGGAGGATAATAGGTTTCAAACCAAAAATTGAAATGATCAAGAGAGTTCTTTAGAGAGGGAATGCAGAATCTTTCAAAAAACAGTGTTTTTGGAACATTGAAAAAGAGCTTGATGTTAAATCTAGTATCTGATTGAATGGTAAGATATTTTTGGTCAAGGTTAGTAGTTTGAGTAAAAGATTCAATTTTGAATCTTTTAGATCTAAGCTTTAAATCTTTAGCAAATTTTTGGTAATCAATTGATTGATAATTATTAAATAGAAAAAGATGGAGTCATGCAAGATTAAGGCAGAGTTGAAGATGATTGTAAGCAGTATATGGGAGAATGATAACTAGTGAGACAAAGATTTCAAGATAATTGAGTTTTGTGAAAAGGATAGTTGTAAATTTAAACAATAAGTTTTTAAGAGTAGATTTAAGTAAATTAAATAGAATAGTAACAGTTTTGTAAATAAGATCAGTTAAGAATTTTGGTTATTGTCTAGCTATGATATGAATAATATAATAGAATGAGGACTTGAGTGCAGGTTGAGTAGAGGTAGCTGGTTTAATTTCTTTACCAGGATAAAAATTATAGAGAAATTTTTTAAGAAAGATAAAGAGTTGAAGAGAGAATGTAGTTTATAGTTTTTTGTTAGATTGCATTTCTTTAATAATTGGAAAATTTGTAAGCCAGTCATATGTGGGGTTGGATTTTGGTTTAGTTATACTAGAGTAAGTTTGGAGAAGAGGTTTGTTTGAGATACTGTCAGGTTAATTAGTATTACTAGAGTTGTTAAGATTTAAGTTAAAGTTATCAATGATGTTAGTAATAGGAGGTTGGTTAAAAATAGAATTAGTATGGGTAGTTGTAGCAAAGAAAGAGTCAATAAGGTTAGAAGTAATAGAGAAAGTTTGGTTAGAAAAATTGGTGTTGGAATTAGTGGTTTGGTTAGATTTCATTAAGATATTTTGAAAAGTTTGGGTAAGATTTTTCTTGGTTTGAGATGAACTAACTTCATGTTAAGATAAAGCAGTTATACAGATAAGATGATAAATTTCGTTATTTTTAGTAATATATTTTTTGATAGAATAATGATGCTTATTTCTCTTGATACAACCAATTGGAACAGAGCATTTTGGATAGGTATAGTAGTGTATGTCAGGTGTAGGAGATGAAGAAACACTGTTAGTAGAAGAAGAAATATTAGATATAAGATCTTGACTTGTTTTGTTGAGTTTTTTGAAGTTACTATTAATATGAGTGATAGTAAAGTCAGTAGCTTGAATGTGGTTAGTATTGGTAGGTAAGATAAATTTGATATGATATTTGCTACAAAGACAAGTAATCACAGAGGTAGAGGAAGAAGTTTGAAAAAAATATATAATCTTATATGATCTAAGATTTTTTGTTAAGCAGGAAGTTAGTTGGATTTTAAGAGGAATTGGATGAGTCTTGTTACCTTGTTCTTTTTTATAAAGAGTGATTTCAAAACTATTAGAGAAGTTTTGGTAGAAGTAATCAAGGTCTGCAGTATCAGGCTCTTGATAAGTTAATGTAGGTATTTTGCAATATTTGCAGATTAGGTAGGAATAAAGAAAAAGAGAATTAAGACTTTGAGAATTTTGTTAAATAACAAATATGATTGTAAGTATTAATTTTGCAAGAGTGGTAAATAAAAACAAGGGTTGTATTGTGGAAATGTCATTGAGGTAGTACTAGTATGTAACTAGAATAGTTAGGGTCGCTACTGTGACTCAGATACTGAACACAACTGTAATTTGTAATACAAATTACTGTATAATGTAAATAGGAACCAAATATAGTAATAATAGATTGTATTGAATAAATATCTATAAATAGGTTGGTTACAGATATTGATGTAAATTAATAAGATATAAATTTGAAAATGATTGTATGGTTATACAAAAAACATGTAAGGGAAAAAAGGAATAAAATAAGAACAAAAAGTAGAAAAAGAGTTTTGCAAGATAGTAAATATTAAATTTAGTTGTAGTTTGACCAATATTAGGTCAAAAATCTTTATTTATAACTTGTTTTAATCAGGTAACTGTATACTACAACTTTAATTAAGGGTATAGAACAGGTTAAGACAATGAAAACTGCAAGATGATTAAAAGTTATAAACTGGAGACCAAAGGCCATCAGTACAGTTTTCTCGATGAGTTTAAATTATTAAAACTTAATATTTGCAGAATATATGTAAAATGATGAGCTGAACAAGTTTACTTAAGAGCCTAGGACAGATTGTCTTAGTTAATTTTTGTGCAATAGACTTGCAGAAAGAGTTTTTTTTATATTCTTAGAGTTGTAATAGTTAAATAATTAACAAGATAGATAATTAGAAGGTTTAAATAAATAATCTTTTAATAGATTGTAAGTATAATATTTAATATAGAATTCTAAAATGAACTACTTAAATAAGCAACCAAAAATTACATATATGACTAACTATACTTTTATTTTTGTAAAAATAACTGTAATACTAACCTTAACATATATTAATAAAATAATCATTATAAAGTATAATCTTTAAATATAAAAAAAAACATTATGCATTATAAACATTTATATAGTTATAATTAAAGCTTCAATTAACTTGGTACAAAACAAACTGCAACCTTTATGTCTTAGTTTTTTTTTAAACTAGTATATAGTTTTACAATAATTTTTTAAAATTTTTAAATTGAATTTATCAAATTTAGACTAGAATTTAGTAATACAAGTCAACTATATTAAGTCAAAATTAATCACTAGGCGGCTTTACTTAATATGTGGATCATAATTTTATTTAGTAATAATTTTGGGCAAAATTAGTTAATCCAGAACTTTCCGATCACTATTACAAGGTATTCCGATTCCGGAAATCTGAGAACCTTTCTGTACGAGTTGTTAAACACTTATGATACATTTTAGTAATACTGATACAGTATATTTAGATAAAAATAGTATAATTACTTATACCTAGTTTAAAACCATTTTTATACCTATTAATAAAACTACATAATAAATAAAAAAACATTTTTCAAACTTTAAAAATTCTTTAATATTTTTTAGTAATTGTATAAAAATTGAATTTATACAGTTGATCCTTAATAATAACGAAACAAATTTTAATTTTATCCTATACAGTTCGGTATAAAAAGTATTACAAGATCTTATCATAGTAATTTCCTATAATGAAAAAAAAATTTTTTCTTCTAGAATCACTAGTTCGTTATAGAAGAGTTAAATGTATATGCGTACATATAAAATTATATATATAGTTATGTATATGATTAAAAAGAATGATCACGATAAAATTTTTAATTATGCCTATAATCAAAATTTTTATGTCATTGCGAGACAAAATTTCCTGGGTACAAATGTCAGTTGGTCACAAAGTTAAAACTTTATTCGCGAGTTTCCTTTCTTAACACGTGAAAATAAAGGACGTTCAAGTAGTAATTACATATACATCTAATTTTTTTTATGCCAAAATAAGAAATATCTTTTTAGAATGTATAAAAAGACAAGTTCACGGATAAAACAATCCGCAATAGTTATAGTAATCAGCTGTGAATGACTTTATTATATACATTACACAATCGTTTAGATCTATTTCTAAAAAAAAAAAACGAATGGAATAATGAAAAGAGGGGGGCATGAATAAGATTAAAGAACGGGAAAATTACTTTCAAAATAGAAGTTATCAAGGTATTACATATTAATGAATAATAGAAGTTATCAAGGTATTACATATTAATGAATGAATTATAGATGAAACCATTAAGAAACAGTAATAAACAAAATATTGATAAATTTAAAGATATAAATTGAAAGAAAGATAAACAATCTTTACAATTATATGCTGTCAGATTATCTTTTGAACCACTTGATTGATTTTTAGAGAAAAAAAATAACGATAACGATAATAATAACGATAATAATAAAATAATTAAAGTGATTATATATATATATATATTCGGACTTGTTATCGGAGATTCAGTCGATACAAGATTAAAAGATCACGAGGAATTTAGTTACATAATCAAAACAGACGTACGTACTAAGACGTACTACGTCATGTATGATGAATACACAGCTATGGCATGAGTCTTGTGATGTATGTGAAAGCCATAAAGACAGTGCAATTGAAAAAAAAGAGATTTGATGCATTCAAAGTTTTTGGTTGGTAAATCTAACCGTATTTCATAAAAATTATTAATCAATGTGCGTACTTGCGCATACTTTTTTTTTTTTACAATGGGTTTGGGGAAGGGAAGAAAGTTTTACCAAAAAAAGATATTCATTCTTTTGTAACTTTTGAAAGAAAGAGCATGATTGATTGATGCTAAATTAGCCAACATAAAGACATGCACCGAAATCAAGAAAACAAGAAATTGAAAGGCAAACGGGGGTTACACGCGCCTGAATTAATTTCTCGGATAAAATATTCACACACTTATAGAACCGAATTGCGCGTTGATTCTATACAGATAATGAAGGCGTTTTTTTTTTTCAAATTAATAGATGTTTATATAAACATAATTATCATAATAGGAATAATGAAAAATTATAATCGTAGTCATCTTATGCAGGTGACTTTGCCCTTGGACCTTGACGTGCATCCATGTAACGATGCTGAATTCAATTGGTTAACCTTTTAGAAACTTGCTCGTAATTGTTCTTTACCAGAATGCAAGTCACGCTTTTTGTTTACGTGACACACGATATAGTTACGCCCAAAGTTTTTTTTTTTTATATACATCTTCGGAAGGAAAAACTTTAATTTCAAATGGTCATTATAGAAAAGCCAAATGTAAAAACAATTGTTCTCTTAGAGTTCTTTTTTGGAAAATTTGCTTGCTTACAGGGATTGAAGACCATATATGAATGCTAATTATACCAATTATGAATTATGTAATTATGCGGATAAGCGTAATTGGTCATGGCTTGCATGTGAACAATGGTTGTGTCACGTGCAATGATATTAAGATATATTTTCTCGGAATAAGAAAGAAGTAGGCTTTTCGAATGAGGTTAAAAAGAACAATCGATGTTATGAATTGGGAAAAAATTATGAATTGTTTTGGTAACACTTCTGTTGCGAAAATATTACTTTAAAAAAGGGGAAGTAGGGAAGTGATAAATAATAAATAATATAATAAATAATATAATAAATAATGTAATAAATAATAAATAATAAAATAGTAATACAGTATATGTAATAAAAATAGTAAATACTATAGTGTGTAGCAAAATGGTAATACGTATAGTTGTACATATAAGTTATACATAAAAGTAGTTATTAGGAATAGTAAATAAAAGATAGTTATGATATCATCATCATCATACAAATATTAATTAAGGTAATTTTCATTTTCGAATATCAACGGGACTTTGTCGGTCGATATAAAAAAAAAAATCTTGTACATACATAATTTACTATGAGATTTTATCCATAATAATAAACATTTTCATTTTTCTTTCACATAATAGTTTATTATTTATTGTCTTTTAATTCCAAAAAGGACATAGAATAACGTGTTAAACAGCAAAAGGGCGTATTTTAGCAGGGACGAAAACAATCAAGTTGAAACTTTTTATAGATGTTTACTCCGATTGTAATTTTCAATACGTAGTTTCAGGATGATTTTTTTCACATCAGCCGCATCTAGACTTTATATGTATGGATGGCTATATCATTTAGTGCTGGGTATATGCCGTGTATATGCGTTATGTATGCGTGACCTTTTTTTTTTTTTGAACCTTTTTTTTAGGTGATAAAGCCACAATAATATTATTGCATATACTAGTATCAAAAAAGAAAAACAATCAAAAACAATTTAATCGCGGTCTTGACTAGTTTATATGGCTGAATTTACTGGTAACTAATAATTTATTGAAAATTTGTTGGTCATAAAAACTTGTTCATGATCATCATTAGTACGTACAGTGCTTACTCAACGCACGTACATACTGTATAAGGATCATATAAAAAAGATCTTAGAAGATGCATCGGTAGTATTACTTTTCTATGGCATATCCTGATGGCAGATACATAACAGTTAAAGATAGTTGATTATGTATGTATATAGCAGATTATATATAGATGTTATATAGACGATAATTAAGTAATAAACCAAAATTTATTTTAAAATAAAACAGTTAAACTAGAAACGCGCCACAAAGGACACAAAATAAAAATCATAACCAAAAAAACACAGCCATGCACATCTGTTATAATAAGTAAATTTCATTGATATTTTTTAATACGTATAATAAAGAATTACGTAGAAACGTGTTCTTTCTATCTATATATTAACTATTAATTCATGACAAATTTGACAAATTTGAAGCCTCAAAAAGATTTTTTGATTCTTACCGTGTTATTTCGTATAAGCGACTGAGCCACATTTTCCAACAACTGATAAATCCAATAAATGATAATCCATAATTGATAAAATAAGATTATCAAATATATATATAAGAAAAAAAAACAAAGGATTAATTAAAAATCAGCCACTACAATCATTAAAATCACTACAATCATTAAAATCACTAAAATCGCTAGAATAGCTAGAATCACTAGAATCGTTAGAATCACTAGAATCGCTATGAACTTTTGAGGCTATATGTTGTAGATCATTAAATCAAAAGAAAGAATCCCGTCGGGTAAAGTTGTTCTTCCGAACAACCGAACAATCAACATCATTATAGGTAAAACATATATAGCGATAGATGATACCAATCAATGACACAATGACATATAGATGATTATATAGATAATATATAGATAACATATAGATGATAAATATGTTTCACATGGAAAAAGATTTGATTTCTAGTTTAGAGCATTTTATGTCAGAAAGAGGTAATGAATTTAGAAAATAACATGAGAATAAATTATAAAAGGTTACGGTATAAGAATATCTTGATGCTTAGCACGTAACGGTATTTAATGACCAAATAGGTTATTCCAAAATTGTTAAAATGGTTAGTCTTTTCTATTCCGGCAAATGTCCATAATGTTTAATCTTGTTATGGTTCATGCAACGGAATTTTAAAAATGCTTGTCAAAAACAAGATCTAATCACGGAACTCATGATTGTAGAAAAAAAAAACTCCTGTTTTGTGTTAATCAAAAATGATTCCCGTTTTTAGAAGTAACTTTCAAAATAAAGAAAAATCATAGCAGTATTAAAATCGTTTAAGAAAATTTTATTGATAAAGAATTCCGAAATTTTACTTTAAAAAGTTGGATTAAATAGTTTATTATTTACAAAAAAGAAAGATGTTAGATTCAAGAATATTTGGCGTTAGAAATACAGTGTCTAACTAAATAAAAATTATACAGTATATACGTAAATATATACCTATAAATATATGTATATATCTGTATATATGTAAATTATATAAATATATCAGATAAATATATATATATTATAAAAAAAATATATATATATAAAAATGTTTTTTTTTTTTTTAAACCTGTCAAATAACTTGAAGATTAACTTTTGAGCAACGAAAATAAATTAACAAGATAACTTGGATGACAAGATAACGATAACTTGAATTGTTAATTACTACTATATCAACAACGATAACGCTAATCTTGTTCTTTAAATGAATTAATTAATGCTTTAAATTTATTTATTTTTTATTTTTTAGTGACGTATATTATGTATATTATCAGGAAAAAGAAATGAAATGATTGGATAAAAAAAAAAAAAAATTATATGGGGTGATTGGTTCCTATTCTATTTTCCCAATTTTACCTGGTATGGAGAAGAGGCTTCTGAATTGATGGAATTGATGGAGCGTGCATTCACAATAAGAAGATCACGATTTTCCCCTTTATCGAATACTATCGTTATTATAAGTTGTTAATAAATGAATAACGATGATTATTATATAATATTAAGATATAAAGAAAATTAATTCAGTCAGTAGATTAAGTAAGAATATTATTTATTTATTTATTTATTTATATATAAAAAAAAATGGGGAAAAAGGAGGGAAAAAATACAGGAAAGTTATGTAACCGTTAAGGGGGTTGTTAAATGAAAGTCGGATTATTTGTTGTTGTTACATCTTTGTTGAGATAAAAACAACAATAAGAAACACAAAAAAAGGACAATAGTAACATAATGGTAAGTACATCGAATTAGCCAAGGATGAATTTTTTTTTCACTAGTCTCGTGGCATGACCTCGTGTTTGTCAAATACTGTAATAGAAAATGTGATAAATAAAAGTGGCTGTGATAGATATTGATGGGACGCGGGGTAATAAAAATTTCGTAGGAGAGGTAGGACAAAAACCAGATTTAAAATTAGCTTAGTTGGTAGGGGTTAAAAAGAAATTCTCGATATGGAACCATCAGCTATCTTTGTGTGATGCCGTGTGCGTGTGTATGGGTATAAAATTCAAAAAGACAACGAAAAGCTTGTGATGCTTGCAGAAAAAGTAAACAATTACAATATAATTCATATTAATTTTTGCCAATATAGCGTAAGAGCGCCATGCCGCCGTCAAAAAGATGAATAATAGATAATGTAATATTATTTCTATCCATTGACCTATAACTCTAATAAAGGATTAAAAAGGAGAGGATGTCGTAATAACAAAGTGTTGTAATTTCGTGTCAGAATATTATGATGATTAAGGTAAACTTTAGTTTTATTTCAAAGGTAAACTTTGATCAAATTCCCTTGGACAAGTTTGACAATCTAAAAATGTAATGCGCAACACATGTTAATAAGATGTATGATAACGGTGATAACGCCATTTTGTATAAAGATCATCCTTTTTTATTATGCTTTTATTATGCAATGTTATTGGATAACTTTAGCTTCGAAACGAGTGTAACCGGAAGAGTTCCTGCAGGCATAAGGTATTAAATAAAAATTTTTTTTTCTTTTTTTTCTTTCTTTAATCCTTTTAGCCCAAAAAGATAAGACACGAAAGGCGTGCTATACAGAAACTTAAATACCTTAATGCGCAGTAACTATATAGTAAACCTATATAGTTTGCTATTAAGTTTAGTAGTGGCTATATAGTTACTATACAGTAGAGTTACTGCGCATTAAAAATCCAAGTTTCTGTAAAGTATGTGTATGCGTATATATATGTGTATGTGTATATGTGTATACAGTATGTGTGTATATGTGTATCTGTGTATATGTATATGCGTAAGATGTAAATATCATTCATTATCGTTATTTACTCAATCGTTCAATTTTATCATTAATGTTAAACGAGCTAAACGATGAAAAAAAAACCTTCTTTCGGCGCCTTTCCGTACATTTCATACATTCCGTGCATCCGTACATTCCGTAAATTCCATATTTCGATCAAATAGTTTCGAATATCATAATTACAGATCTAGAAAGATAAACTAAGATCTAGTTATCAAACCGGAATTTGTTATGATTGGGTGGAACCATAAATAATGCGCAGTAGCAATATCGAAAACTCGTGGTTTTCGATTTCCTCAAAAAAAAAAAAAAATATGCAGTTAAAAAAAAAAAATATGCAAGGGTTATATTTCATGCTTTTACCTTTTTTTTCTTTTTCGAAAAACAATTGTTTTTATAAACAGAATTCCGAACGCAATAAATTGTTTACAAATATGAAAAAAGTCACGCCTCATTTATCATGTATTTTTATCATGTGATTCTTGAAACGATCATTTAGGACTTGATTTCTATCATTATCACTGCAGCCTTACAGTCATAGTATTATGACCTTGCAGCCTTTATAGCATTATATAACCTTGCAGCCTTATAACCTTACAGCTTATAGCATTATATAACCTTACAGTCAGCCCTATACGTAGCATTACAGCCTTGCAGCCCTTACGACCTTACAGCTTTGCAGAATTACGGAATCACGGAATGTGATCACGAAATAGTAGAATTATGGTATTACGACATAGACATCATAGACATCATGGACATCATACGTATAATCATACGTAGACAAAAAAGAAAGCCATAGATTTGAGGCGTAACGATTGTTATGATTCTATCGAATGTTATTATGTGGCTTGAAAGTATCAAAAGTCTAAAGTTAGAAAGTTAGACTAAAGGTTAAACAGATTTAGTATAAAAAAACTTTAGTAATTTTTTTCAAATCAAACATAAAGTTATATTAAGTACAATGTATCTATTGTAAGATTTCATCTCATGATATACAATGAAACAAGAATAATCACCTATTAAAATCTGGTCGTTTTGTTTGCACCGTGAAATTTTTTTTTTTTTTATCATCATCATCATTATTGTTATCATTATTATGTTATTATTATGTTATTATTAAACCCTCAATGAAAGATAGTGATGATACTAATTGGTCAGAATTGATACAGAATATTCCACCAATTACTTATTTAATATACTCGTAATCATTCCCGTGCATCTACGTCATACTTAACCCGAACTTGTTTTTAGATTTATAATGAAAAATATCGCTGGTTTTCCAATTCCGGTAATGTACCATCACTCATCACTCGTAAATAGATGTAAATAGATCTTCATCTATTTAATATACATATATCTATATATCTATATATATAGATAGATGTATGTATGTATTAAAATATATAAAAAAAAAAAATTTAAAAAAAATTATATTATATTATTAATATTTATATACTATATTATATTGTATTATAGTATTATATAATATAATATGTATGACATGTAACAAGCAAGCCCGAGAAAACGGAAATTCGGTACTTTGCCACAAACAAAAGCATTTTCTCATTTAGGAACGGTTTAGCTCATTCCACGACTTTTCAATCTCGGAAACAAAACATTCGTGTAACAAAGGGCGCAATCTTGATTTTAGTATCGATATCTGGTATAAAAAAAAAAAAAAAAAAAAATTTAATTTGTATTATTTTCATAAGACTTTGTATATAAAAAAGCATGTTTAAATTTCGTACTAACCTGATAAAGCATCAGGAGAGAACTTTTATTTCAAAATTCCGTATTGACTCGGTGATGACTCAGATAAGGAATGTATAAATTGCCTTTAAAAATCTCATGAATGCGAGAATGAATGTACCTTGATGTAATTATAATAATATATATATATATATTGTCATACTTTTATCATACTTTTATTATACGTACTTATTTTTTATCATACAATTCAAAAAAAAAAAAAAAAAAAAGATATTATTAGAATTGCATTGTGGAAATTAATTCAACAGCGTGAAACCGGGTGGCTTAGGATAAAAATGGCGGGCTAATTATTTATCGATAATTGACTGCCAATTGACTACTAGTTGATTACTTGACTGCGGGTAGTAAGTATCATCATTCCTTACATTGAATCTATATTTGAATTTACATTAAATATATTAAAAATATTAAAAAAATATATTTGTAGATCATATTAAATTCTGTTAAATTCTGTATGAAAAAAAACAAAGACCGAAAACAAAAAAAGGAAATGTGAGAAAATATTATAAATGTTATTATAGTTTAAAGTGTTATACTGTGTACTATATAGGTAGTAAATGTTTCGAGTGTATATGTATATATGTATGTGTATCAGGTGTATCATTGTAATTTTCAATGAAAAACATCCTAAAACTGGCTTTCCTTCTTATTCATTTCGAGACCAGGCGTACGTACTACTCATTGTCGTTACGTACCCTATCTGCCCTATGATGATAACATGAATTATACTGGATATCATACCTTGAAAAATTATTGGTTCATTGATTTATCAACGACTTTTTTCTTGGCATACACTCAACTCTCACTATATTATATGTGTACTACATTATATGTTCACGTGATTGAACGTAAACAGTCACTGCGCCATAACATGATCTTCATATTAATATGATCATCATATTTTCTAACCTTTTTGTTAACTTTTGGTTTAACCTTTAAGACGCGTTCTAATACATGTACGAGAAACAGTTCAGTAAATGTTTATCATTTATATAATTTTTCTTTGTTCAATAAATGTAAAAAAACCTGATCATGTTCTCGAATTCTTTTAAGATATCCATAAAAGGTTCATATGCGTACTTTATCATTCTTAATTTACAACATTTTGTTTATATCAAATATGTAAAATATGTATTTGGAATATCGCTGCAAACATCTCGTTTTTTTTTTCGATCTTCGTACATACGATTCGACAAACTAATTTTACTTTTCACCAATCAATTAAATCAAACGAAAGTTGTGAAGTGCCCCACGGATAAAAAAAAAAAAAAAAAAGACTTACCCCCAATTTTCTTTTTTTTTTCTTTTCCATATAGTAAGCACGCGCCTCTTCTCCATTTTACCCCCTTTTGTATGTACAAAAAAAAAAACTTGTTAATTTGTACAATCGGGAATTCACCCCCCTAGAAACCTTATGTTTTTATATGTTTTATGTTTTTAATGTTTACATTTTCTTTCTTTACACTTTCTTCGATTTTCACATTTTTCAAGTTTGAAGTTAAAAAGTTCAAAGTTATTATACTTTTCAATCAAGTTATTATAGTTATTAAATATTTTCAAAATTACTCAATTCAGTAAAAAAAAAAAAATAAAGAAAATATAGTGATAGTGTGTATATATATATTTCGAAAACTCTTTGAGAAAAAAAAAGATTGCTTTTTGATCTTTTTTTTTTTTTTTTAACTTTATTATTGTAAAAAAAAATTTACGATTCCATAAAAATAATGGAATTAGATATATATATTTTTTTTTTTTATAAAAATCTTAAGGTGTTTGGTTTCTCGTGTTATTTGAATTAAAAGCATAAGAGAAAAAAAAATTTATATCGAGAAATACTAATATGTAATAAAAGCCTGTACTAAATACTAATTTGAATAAAACTAATTAATGGCTTTTTTTTTTCTTTTTTGTTACTATTTTTTTTTTTTTTTTGCGAGAATAATATATTAAACGCAAAAAAGAAAAAAAAAAAAAAAACATATCATTGCCATTAAAGTGACAACTAATCTAAGTTTTATGTGTATGTATATGGATGTTTGCCATGTAAAGAGAAAAAAAAAAGAAAGGGTGATGGAAATATATGCTAAAACTACAATACAAATGCAAATAGTAAAAGAAAAAAAAAATGTCTAAAGAAAAAAAAAAACTGTACATACAAGAAAAAAGCAGTGTAAACGAAAAAGTTGCGCCATCTAATAAACGCCTTTACAATTTGAAATTGAGCTATAAACACGGGAAAAAAAAAATGAATTTTTTTTTTTTTTTGCAAGAGTAATTATTGTTCAGTAAACTCTGTTACATTCATTCAATCATATTATATTTCTCTACGTTCATCATCATAATATATCCATCAAATATATATTCTTTATATACTGATATATTCAACCACATTTCATTCATCGTATTCAATTCAACATATGTTCAATCAGATCATACTACGGTTGTAGTAAATGATATGTTATTTACCGGAAAACCCGAAGAAGCAGACCGAGCATTAATAAGACTTGATTGAACACGTCTTGTATAAAACACACCAACAGGATCGATAACATATTGAGGTTGAGTGTTTCTAACGGTAACATTGGTAAAAGTTTGTCGTACTTCATAAGATTGACGTTGTGAAGAATGACTAGAGTATACCATATTAGAAGAATTTGATGAAGAGGAAGAAGTGGAAGGTATATTGAAATAAGCGGAAACTCGTTGAGAACTTGAAGCACTGGATGGAGGAGTTGGATATGCTATGGTCTGAGCATAAACTTGTTGTTGAGATTGTTGTTGAGGAGCTTGTACAGAATACATTGAGTAAACGTTGGCTCTTTTTGGAGGAGATACCATCATTCCATCCACAAAAGCTTGTTCGGCCGACCGTTTAAAACCAGTGGGCATTGATTGAACAGGAACAAGAATTTGTTGGTGTTGAACAGGAATATATTGTTGTTGAGAAAATTGCAATTGATGTTGTTGATGTTGTTGTTGAGAAGATTGATGAGAAATAGAAATGGAACAATCCGGGGAAGAATTATCATCATCATGAAAATTATCACCAATTCGAAAGTAAGTGGATAAATTTTGAACCCACTCGAAATATTGTTTCTCTGAAACATATAATTGATAATTCAAAGAGCCCAAAAATTCCATTTCCATAGTATTTATCTCACAAACTGGTATATTTGTAACTTCAGACCAAGTTTTATTCGTGTAAGTATTGTCGTCCAAAAATTTATTAGCCAACATAAGAGCCACAGTAAAAGTTCTATATTCAGAACCATTTTGACCTTTTATCGTAGGATTATTTATCTTCATCCTATGAATATATAGTAACGATAAGTGAATGACCGATCGAGAGACTTGAGTGGCCGAAATAACGTCACGACAAAACTTCTTGAACGCGTCTCTCGGTTTAAAATCGGGAAACCTCCTGTGACCATTCCCACCTGGGGGTGGTATTTTCGAAGAAGAATCCATGATATAATCACCAAACCACAAGAAACAAGTCATATGAGCTGCGAAATCCGAAACGCGTTCTGGAAGAACATGTTCAAACGACGAGGAATCAGTTATTATCGAAGTCGTTGAAGCAGAAGTAGTAGTAGTAACATTGTTTTGAGAAAAGAATTGCATTGAAGATTTTTGTGAAGAAAATTGATCAGTTTGATGTAAATTATTTGGTAAAGGTGGTAACGGTTTTCGCTGTAAATTTATGGTTTGAAGTGAAGAAAAATTCGAAGAAGTAGCGGGTAAAGACGCAAGCGTGGTGGTTAAATACATAATTCTTTTTTATATAAGTTACGAAATTGATGGCGTGTGAAAGTTTACCGCGCTTAATTTTTTTACAAGTACGCACAGTAAAAAATTGTTCAAAAAGTTTTTTTTTTATTTTTAAAAGAAAAAAATTACTAAACTGCCGAAAGTTATATAAGCCGCGTGTCTCTTCAAGAAAAAGAGAAAAAAAATATATATATATATATATTATATATATTTATTATTTATATATAATATTATTTTTTTTTTGTTGTGAAGGAAAGACCAAAAAATTTGGCGGTTTATAAGTTTTTTTCACCAAGTCAATCACTATTTTCTTTTTTTTTTTTATATTGTGTGATCTTAGTTTAAAAAAAAAAAAAAAAAGTGGGGAGATGTATGGTTGAAAAAATAAGTATATGAAGTAAGTATTTGAAGTAAGTATTTGAAATAAATATCTGAAGTAAGTATCTGTCGGATATTTATTTGTGACCTTTGGAGTAAATTTATATTGATACAATTGAAGAACGTTGTTGATCGATTTATAGTTAAAGCATATAAAGAAAATGATATATTATAAAAATATTATATAAAATAATATAGATATTTATTATTATTATTATTATATTATATACATAATATTATAATTATAATAAAATATATATATATATATTAATAATAGCGTCTCGTGTACCTTTTTTTAACTATTACACACATAAAAATGGAATGCCGTACATATTATTTATAATAATACTAATGCTGATAGGAAGAATGATATAAATGTAAATGATGGATGTCTTAATAATTATACTTTTTTATACTAACTCAAACCGGTTTTAATATAAAAGAAAGTTTATTTTACTTTATATATCAATACAGAATACAGAATACAGATACAGTATTCATAAAGATATCGTAGATGATGACTCACTCAATAGATTTGTAGAATGATGTAGATTATAATTTCATATTGACGTTGATTGTTATTTATATTAATACGAGTTAAAAAGTAAACAAAAAAGAATAAATACATTTTTCAATGTTTCGCTGTATTGTAAAAAGTGTTTATTGTCGGACTATCGGATATCGGTGTCGGTGTATAAAATATAAAAAAAAAGTAACAAAAAGAGAAAAAATAAATAGAAAAAAAAAAAGAGAAAGAAAAAATAGAAAACCAGTTTTATGAATTTAGTCAACAGATATCTTTCTTGTATTTCTTGAATGTTATTTGTTTATTTCATGTTTTCTTCGTGCTTCTTTCAAGTTTCTTTCATGTTCTTTAATATTCATCATAATTATTACATTATAATAATAATAATAATAATAATAATAATAATAATAATAAATATCGTAAGGCTGATGAAATTGACATTGGGAAAGTACGTGATGATGATTATAAAAGAATCGACCAATCGTTCTTTATTGTTCTTTAGGGGGTGACTAGATTTCCACGCGCAGCCGCATCTAAATTCGAAGACAGTGTGTATCAGTATTTGGTTATTTGTATTCACCACATACTATACATTTACTATATACATTTATATTACTCATCACGCACTCCTTTTGTTCTATCAATTGTTTGACACGCTTAACGGAATTTACATATGACACAGTGTGTACCCATTCACTCTTTCCTTATTAGCTTAATTTCTATTTAATGCTTTTATAAAGTTGATACGTGTTGACCAAGAATTAACAATTCTCCACATCTTATACATTTTGACAATTCAAAAATCCATTACATCCAATCAGAATTCAATCTTTTTATTATCTCATACATCTTTCTATTGTACAAAAAAAAAAAAACTCTCACACGGAATGATACACCTATCATCTGTCTTGTGATTAGCCATTCTGGAATAACTGAATTCACTAACAATATTTAAGAGAATAATTCTACTATAATAATCAACTATAAACGACTTTGATGTACCAAGTTAGGAAAGTCGCACTTACCTTATTCCGTGAAAATCAAATAGTGTATCTTAAATAGTATCTCAAATAGTATCTCCAAATAGTATCAAATAGTGATTTAATTAGATAAAAAAAAAAAAAAAGCCTTTGTCTAACCGATGTCTTTCTCCAGGCACATAATACGATTAAACAAACTGCATAATATAAACAGATGAGGTATCTTTTAGTAAATGAAATTATCATTATCGTCCTTTATACTAATTCGTTGATGTTTTTGTGTTACCGATACTAATCTAGTATTCTTCATCTTCCTATTCTAACTTTATATTATGTCCCACATATTTAAAATGTTCACCGCATCGGTATTGACACCGGTCCCGGGTTTATTACCTATCCCTGTCTTTATTTACTATGTATTTACGACGTATTTACTATGTACTTTATTTTTTTTTTCAATCTTTTTTCCCTTTGTTGTGACTTAAAAATCAGCCGTGTTATGTTTGATATTATGTTTAATAATGTGTGTATTTAATGCGTATGTTTAATGCGTGTGTATGTTTTGTTCTGCGCCACCAGAAATGGCAAATAATATCGTGTCAAAAAATGTGAATAGATTAAAAAAAAATACTGTAATATGATTGAATATGATTGATTGTTTTTTTTTCATTATATCATGAGTGTTTTTCATTATCTTGATGTTTTTTTTTGTTGATTTGGCGCACCTGGTCCCCAACCACGGTTCGAGATCTCTTTTTTGGTTCAAGGTTCCGTCATCATCTCATCTCAAAAGTATCCTTTTTTTTAATCGGTATGATTTACCCAATAAATGAAAATTATCTTGGTCGTCCTATTCCCTATCGGTATCTTTACATTTAATTTACGTGATTGCTTGTCAATTAAATTAAAAAAAAAAAAAAATTTTTTTTTCACCTCTTATATTGTTGGGGCGTCACGTCAATTGGGGACTCCGCATATGATATGATTGTTTAATTCCACAGTACGCGAATTTAATGTTGAAACTCATTATCGTTATCATTATCATTATCATTATCGTTCTTATTATCATTCTCATTATCATTAACGTTAATCAACAGCCGTAATAATTTTTGATACTAAATATATAGTCTAACTCCGGTAACATGACATATTGACATATCGACATATCGATATATGATGTTTATGGCGCGATACTCTTTTTCACCCTTGGTTGATTACTGCCATAAATCTCATAGATCATTCTGGTCTGTCAGCAACTTTTACAGGTATCATGTATTATCACAAGGTTACTATTATTACTATTATTACTATTATTATTATTATAATTTTTATGATTATTATCTTTATTATTTTTATTAATACATTAATAGTTATTATTATTATTATCATTACTTTATTATTACTTTATTATTATCGTTATCGTTATTATTACGTATCATTATTATTATTATTATTTTATTATTGTTTTTTTTTGTGCTCGCCCTTCTTATGATAATTCCCACCTCCGTATGGTTCCTTGCTTACCTCCGTTAGGTGCCTTCGCCTCATTTTTGTTTGTGAGCGGTTTTTGTATGATATTGTATGATTTTGTGTGATTTTGTGTGATTTTATGTGATTCTGTGTGAGTATGATGCGCCAATCGTTCCAATCATTCTATAACTTATATAAGGTACATCCCATATTTGATATATTGTACATACGTACTTACCTACTATCCTTAACGTACGTAAATGGTATCAACTCGCTGTTACTTATTTATAATTAAGGCTTGAAAAAAAAAAGGTCGATCCATCTATGTTAATTTGGCTTAAACATTATCATTATCGTTTATGTTCTCGTTGTGTAAATACTTGTTATTGTTAATAATAATTTATTTATTTTTATTTTTTTTTGTTCCCCAGCTTTTTTTCCTCTTTCTAGTATTTAAAATGATTTCTTGAAAATTTTTTGGCTGTGCATAACCGCAAGTGCATGCAACGTGTCTTAAATGATTAGGTGTTACAATTCCTCTTTAGGTATTCCCCATTCTTTTTTCCGCTTTATTACTTTCTACGTATACTCTTTTTTTGGCTTTCCTTTACTTTCCTATCTATCCTATTAAAATAGTCTTGATTATATAACACACATAAAATATTTCTAAATGTTTTTATTATAAAACCTTGAACTACTTACTTACATACTTACATACTTACTTACATACTTATTTACCTACTTATTATTATTTTTATTATCTGCTATTATCTGTTATTATCTGTTATTATGTTTAACCCAATAGTATTTCCTTCCGTTGTTTCAAAGCCTATCCAAAATTAGACTTTCGTTCTACATGTTGATCTAAAACTTGACAATTTTAAAGTTGAAATTATCTTATTCCGGATGTATCACAGGAGTTATAAACAAGTAAACATTAAGGTTATTAAATTTCACACCTGATTGGCGATTTTGCTTACTTAAACGTATTGAAGGAGTCATGATTGGATGTAAATCAAAGGTATGATTGTGTCAGAATGCTTTTGCCCAATTTCCATTTTACAATCAACCATCCAATCATTCATCCAATCATTCATCTTTTAGACCTTTTTTATTATTATTATATTATCGTTATTATTTATCTACATAACAATATACATAACGATACGTATACATAACGATATACATAACGATATATACATAACGATATACACATAATGATATACACATAACGATATCATAACATAACGATATCGAACGATATCGATAACGGTAAATAGAATCATAAAAATATCATAGAAACATAGAAATTGATAGATATATAGATATTACAAATACGTGTCTATTAATTTCAAATAATTTCTTTAATAATTTTCAATAGTTTTTAATAATTCCTCAATAATTTCAATAATTGTTACCATCTTTTTAATAGGAATTCGGGTTACTATTACTATGTATCAATATGTTTACAAATGTGCTTTATACTTTTTTAGGATACGCATGACTTTGTACTCTTAAAAATTGTTCCATTTTCCATTTGCTTAGTTATTATGTACTAAGCAAATGATATGATATGTATGTTGAATGGTATGTGTATTGAATGATATGTATGTATGTGTGTGTTCTAAATGGATGCCTATAAAAATTATGAATGATTTACTTTTTTTTAAATAATAATAAAAATCGAATGCCGTATGTAGATTTTTATTTTTACATATTTGATACGTATCGGTATGTACGTACATACATACGTACGTCGTACTCGTCGAACTTTGTACATACGTACGTATCATCTGTACGTATCATCTTTTTTGACCATTCATATGAATAATCTTTTAGGAGTTTTCCTTAGCCTAACTTGTCTTAAATAATTCTATCAAATTTGTTTGATAAACAATTTCTCAATTTCTTTGAAGGTTAGAATATCGTCAATGAAGTATAATAAAATATCTTTGATAAAGTATCTTTTAATAAAGTATATTTTTTAATAAAGTATATTTTTTAATAAAGTATATTTTTTAATAAAGTATATTTGATAAAGTATCTTTAATAAGTATCAACAGCAATAAAAGTATCTGCAAACTTATATACAACTTAATACAACTTATACAACGTAACGATAGATAAATTAAATCTCAATATACTTTATGTACACGCCACTTTTTTTTTTTTAATTCTTTATTTACTTGATTTTTAATCTTCATTACACAAGTGTTGTTATACTAACCAATGATTTGTCAAATCATTGATATAATACGTAAGTCAATGCTTTTTTTAATCTTTTGATTTGACAATTCAGGTGTGATTTATTTAAATGATATTTTTGGAATTATCGTTATTTTATCTTTTATTATATAGATTTTAATTGCGTAAAGCTTCTTAAAATGTTTATTTTTTTCCGTTCTATGAATGTTATGAATGTAATGAACTTAAATGTATTGAATTTAAATGAAATGCAGTTATTATTTTGTTTCTAATTCCGCTCTTTTTTTAGTTCCTGAATAAACAATTTTCCTGACTAATTATTTATTAATCGGAAAATTTCATGTCCGATTTCTTTTAAAGATTTATAACATTCTACGTACATTCTATGTACATTCTACATACAAGATTTTTTTAAAAAAAATTTCCACTATAAATTTTATTATTTTGTCTTACTTTGCCTTGCTTGGTCTTACTTTATCTTACTTTGTCTTACTTGATTTTACTCGGTTTTACTTGATTTTACTCAGTTTTACTTGATTTTACTCAGTTTTACTTGATTTTATTTGATTTTATTTGATTTTATTTGGTTTTACTTGGCTTTACTTGGCTTTACTTAGTTTACTTGGCCTTGGTATCCGAGTTTTTAACTATCTTCGATAGAATAGCATTTATTTATTTATGACAATCCTTACACGTAACATTTTAATGAAAATCGAATCCTGTGATTTAATTATGACTATTTTCAATTAGTTCACACTATTTTCACTATCGTTATCTCAATATTTCCACGTAAACAATCTCATGCAATCATCATATTTTAATCGTTACAGATAAAATTATGTTTTTCATTTGGTTGGTCTTGTAAAATTAATAATAATCAAGAAAATCTGATCGAACTAAGTTTTACTTAAAACTTTTGGATTCATTTGTTTATTCTTAATTGGTTCATTCTATTATTTCAGGGTTAACAAGCATAATCTTACTAATTTGACTAACAAACTTGACTACGTAATAAACTTGACTAACTAACTTAACTAACTTAACTACCTTGACTAGCTTAACTAACCTGACTAATTTGACTAACTTGATTAATTTAGCCTCACCTGACTAATATGATTTACAATTCAACTAAACTGACTAACCTAATTAAACTTTTTTTTCACACGAGATCTCTTTCCCCCTCTTCATTTTACCATTCGTAAAATTTTATTAGTGATCGATCAACAATTTTCTATGAGAATCCGTGACGTGGAGTTAGGGGGTTAAAAAGTATGAAAAAAATCATTGTGAATTATATCATAAATTATATAATGAATTATATATAATGAATTATATATAATGAATTATATATCATGAATTATAAATTGTAAATCTTTTTAAAAGATCCATAAGTGGGGAAAAGGAATATTAAAGGACCGAACCAACCTTTGAACTTAATTTATATGATTTTTTTTTTTTTTTGTTGATTACTTTTTAAATCTATATATATTTTATCATGATTTTTCCGTTAAAAAAGATTATATAAAATAAGACATAATTGTTGATCCCAAATCATTTTTATTTTTATTCAAAAATTTTTCCAAACTTGAAAAAGTATTTTATTAAAAAAAAAGAAATACGGAGAAAAAATTAGCGTAAACGAAATACCATATAAAATGAGTAAGAAGTATCAATTTAAAAAAGGATAAAAAAAAAACAATCATAAGCATACGTATAACATAAACATATAATATGGTGATTAACAAAAATGGTATATCCATTTATGAATATAGTAATCAAATCTAGAAATTTGTTCATTGTCATATAATAAATTATCATAAAATTGTTTGGATATCGTAAAATTGTTTGGAAATTGGCACGAGACCATCAATAACCATTACCAAATTAGATCATTTATAAATAAAAAATAATAGATCGGTTTTATTTCACTGACGGGACATTTATCCGACATCACTCCATATGATAATCCTCATATTCATACCTCAAAATAGACATCTACAACTAATACTGTAATAACATGCTAAATTGTCACGCAGTGTAAAGTCGGATAAATTCGGGTAAAAAAATACCAAAACATACGAGATGTTTAGTAAATTGTTTTAAAATATGGTCGATAAACTTGCGATAAACTTTGAATAGAATAAAGATGGAAATAGGTAAAATAAAGATTGGACCAAATTGGAATAAAGATGAAATAGATTGAAACAGATTGAAATAGATTGAAATAGATTGAAACGAAAAAATCTATTCAAATACAGTACGACATTACGTATCGGTAAATGATTTATTTAACCCCCGATCACTATATCAAGATCACCTTGATCCATATGTTAAATAAACGGAAACTTCGTTTCCACTAATTCCCAACGGATCAGGATATTATTACTAATAAAGGAATTGAAAAAGAATTGATAAAAAAAAAAAAACTAATAAAGATGAAGCATTAGAATTACACTTTATTGAAATCTTTCTTAACTTTTAATGAAATCGGCGAATACGTACTTACGATATAGCATATATGCAATACCATTAGTGATAACCTTTATTATGTATACTTTTTGTTCAAGACGACATTAGATGTACACAGCATTTACTAATAATATAAGCTCAATAATAATATAAGCTCAATAAGATATGCTAACGATATAATAAACTCAATAAGGTATGCTAATGATATAATAAACTCAATAAGGTATGCTAATGATATAAATTCAATAAGGTATGCTAATGATATAAATTCAATAAGACATACTAATGATATCTAATATAAACTAAATACAATATACATAAACTAAATAAGATATACATAAACTAAATAAGATATACATAAACTAAATAAGATATACGTACTAAAAATATAAACTCGATCAGATATACAATAATAAGATAAAGCTCATGATTTGTTCGACGTCCGGTATTAACAATATCGATTGAGTATAGTAATACCGAAATAACCGAAATACCGATATTTGATATCCTATGTTATGATGATGTAAGTATAACATCAATTACAGATCGCGTTTTAAAAACACGCGTCGTATTTTTTGCGTAATCATGTGTGAAAATGATGTGTGAGGATGTTTGAGGATGTTTGAGGATGTGTGAGGATGTGCGAAAATGTGTGAGGATGTGCGAAAATGTGTGAGATGTAAGAGGTGTGATGTGCGATATATAAATATATAAATATTATAAATATTATAAATATTATAAATATTGTATACGAAATACATATGATATAGATGAAATAAGAAAAACAAGTGAGCATAAAGATGAAACATTGGTAATGAAGCAAGGAAACACACCCATACATAATGTTGTTACCATGTAACAATTATAATTAGATTAATAATTATATTGCGTTATCACGATCAAAATATTTCTAGTATTTTCATGTTTTTTTTTTATTTTCAAATAATGTAGTGAAAACAAATCATATTGTTGTCATGAGTACAGGTGAAGAGTACATATGAATAGTACATATGAATAGTACATATGAATAGTACATATGAATAGTAGTACAAAAGAGTACAGGTGAAGAGTACAAAATAATACAGTTATGAAGTTTGTATAACTATACTTAAATAGAAGTCATAGAAATTACCGTAGAACTATATAAAGGTTTGGCAACATGAAAAAAAAAAACCTTATCATTCAAATAAAGACTATTTGAAATTTCAAATAGATATAAAGTATATAAAGTATTTACAAATACGTATCAGGTATGTAATGTAATTATGTAATGTAAGGTACCGCGCTACATAAGATAATGCCGGACCTTATTTATCTTATCATGTTATGAAACAACAAATAAAAAAAAAAAAGTAAAATGTGATTATAATTATTATAATTAGGATCAAATCATCTTTTACAGGAAATAAATACAATCTATAACAATCTATAGGCGTCAAGTATAAACAAAGGATGCTCATTAAAATAAATAAGGACGGAATAAAGAAGGATAGAATTTTCATAACAATTACTTTATATGTTAAACATCAACATCTCCATAATAATATCATATGAAAGCAAACATATTAGTACTATTCAATAAGAATTTATTTAATAATACTAATAAGAATATATTGCTTACGAAACAGTTCTCGTGATTCGTATCAGGAGCATTTCACGTAAATAAAAATTTTTTTTCAAAGTCATAAGTAACGGTCAATACCTTAATATGCAAAGTGAAAAACTAAATATTAGATTTTCCGAAGTGAATTTTTTTTTTCACGTAGCAAGGACATGCGAATTAACATGCACATGAATAAACATAAATTAACATAAGATAACATAAGATAACATAAATTAACATAAACTAACATAAATTAACATAAATTAATAAAATTGGGTGTTCGCGTTTTATTATTCGTGTATGATAAGAAGGTTATTAGTTTAACAAAAAAGTACGCAAAGAGTACGCAAAGAGTACGTAAAGAGTACGCAAAGAGTACGCAAAGAGTACGCAAAGAGTACGCAAAGAGTACGCAAAGAATGCGCATAGTATGAGGATCATCATATTACCGATAAATCGTTCATACATTCAAACCATAATCAATATACATTCAATAATCGATATTCAATATACATTCAATAATCGATATTCAATCTACACTCAATCGTAGATTGGTCAAGTGTTAATATTCGTCTGACGGACATGGTCACACGGACAGGAGATGATGGTAAAACAACGGCATTAAGATAAAGAAGTCACGGAGAAAAATGCGGAGGTTTATATTTGTATTTATTCTTATTTATAATACAATTGGACAATGTTATTTATACATTAAGAATACATTTTGCATAAATAAAATCAAGATTAATAATGTCTTTATTTTTACCAACATCATACGATTATTCATAAACGTTACTCATAAAAATTATTCATAAAATTATTCATAAAAATTGTTCATAAAAATTATTCAATGATTCATAATATATTGCCGCCCAAATACGCACGCATGATTTCAAGCAATAAGTGTAAATATAGTTCACTTTAATACCTAACTCGACAACAATAGCATCAATCATAATATTGATCATCTTTTCAAGAAGTTGTCGTTCATTAGATGTTTATGAATGGTGTTTATGAATGGTGTTAAAGTACAACAAAGAATTATCTATAAAGATAAAGAATCTTTAAAAGAAAAAGAACTTGATACGCATGTACGTAATAATTTTTTTGGTTTAACCAATTAACGCACCAGTAACCGATCCGAATGCAAAATTTAGCTTTAAAGTAAACATTACATGTAAGCCGAGTTAAAAAATTTTCACCGATTACGGAAGTAATTTCGGGTTTCTCGTGTTACACCTGTTACACTATGTATGTTTGCTTTATTGTTGCACTATAAGTTCATCCAACTTCTACGTGTCACATAAAGAGTTCTCGAATTCTGATAAACTAATATATATATATTCATTTACATTTATGTATTTATATGAATAGATAAATATATGAAATAGATATATGAATAGATATATGAATCGATATGATTATATACCACATATACTGCATATACCACATACGTAACACATTTTACATTTATGAATATTTACAGTATGAACTAATGCATTATCAATAGATAGCATATACACAACATTGTTAATCAACACAACGTAACAAGAAAAAAAAAAACTTGATTATTTTAAACATAAGGTTTACTCCTAATTTATGTCACCTGTCTTTTTGTCTTTAAAATAAATCCAAACCTTAAAGAATAAAGAATCGTAACAAAGCATTCATAGTATGAACGCATCTATTAAAAAATAAACAAATCATTTTGGATTAATTATTACTTTAAAAGAAAGTCTAGTTTTTCTTTTCCTGAACGGAACGGATTCTTAATTCCATTCTAAATATTAATTCTTGGTTTTCTTTATATATCTTTATTCATTTATAATAACTTAAAAAAGATTTGTAAAAAAAAAAAAAAAATCTTTAATAATTTCTTTCTTAAGATCTCAAATACGTACCGATATTTCATGTATACATTACAGTAGTGAAACTTAAAGTTTAATTTTTCATCACTTTCACATATCAGATATTAACCTTATTTGAGTTTGTATCATTTTAAAATGTTTCATCCTTAATTTTTATTGGAGGATGAATTTTCAAATGAGGGTTTAACAAATCCGTGACTCGTTAACCTCAATGTGCAGCCTCAATGTGTAGTTTCAATGTGTGACTTCAATGTGTAGTGATTTCAATGTGTGACTTCTATGTGTAACTTCAATGTGTGACCTCTATGTGTAACTTCAATGTGTGACCTCTATGTGTAACTTCAACGTGTAACCTCAATGTGTAACCTCAATGTGATACGCTTAATCAACGCGTGCATTATATAAAAAGTACATCCGTGTTACTATTAAAATAGTAATACAGCAATATGAACAGTATATGAAACAGATGTTAGGTATAACTACGCCTAATAATTTAGACTAATTAATTAGACTAATCTACGTATTAAACTAATCATCAATTCGATTACTTATCAATTAAGCTAATTATTAATTAAAACTAATCATCAATTAGACTATATAATTATTTAATTAGACTAATCAATTAGATCTATACTGTAATGATGATTGATTGTTAATCTTTTACGTATACTTTTATACATATCGATATGTATTTACGTATTACATATACTACATATATTAGTTTCTATGAATAATTCTTGAATTTGTACTTATACAAATACCATTTTTTGTAATCCTTAAAAATAGTTTAACCCTTGAATTTTATGAATGCAATGTCATTCAAGTATAACTTAGAATTGAATGAAATTGTTAGACTAGTTTTTTATTTAAAGAATGAAATTGTTAGACTAGTTTTTCATTTAAAAATTTCATTTATTTAAAAAGTTTTCATTTAGTTAATTTAGTTAAAAAGTTTCATTTATTTAAAAAGTTTCATTTAAAAAATTTCATTTAAAAAGCTTGTTTTATTTATGTATCAAAATAATGACTATACTCAAATGTTTAAGAGTACATATGTACGTTATGTACGATATCACGCTTCAGGTAAGTTTCTTTTCTTTAAAAAAAAAATTGTAACCTGTACTAAAACTAGTCGTCGGCCATTATACCTAGTTCAACATTCGTTCAACGTTAAACTAACCATCTTTGGTTAGTCTGTCTTGATTCTAGAATAACAAAACTAGCACTAAATCTATTCAAATCATTGCCAAAGGTTCCCTCGGTCTATTCTCATACTTTCCTTATATTTTTCTATATTCATCCGTTCGTTTCACAATCTAAAAAAAGATCTCCCCGTGATTTTTTTTTTTCGGTTTCAAAAAAGCTACCGATTGTATTAAAGGATTTAGGTATTTAGATACGTACTCGAAATATTGAGGCGTTGATATGCTTTGCTAATCGTTTATATGAATATATATGTGCCGCAATGCTTCTAATTGCTTAGCGTTAGTTAAATATTGTAATGTTTCATATTTTCATATGTGGTCTGAGTGTTATAAAAAGCAATCTAAACTCGATATATATCTCGATATATGTGCATATATATATACATATATATAAATATACATACATATATACATATATACGTATATATATATTTATATATTTATATATTTATATCGATATGTATATATATATACGTATATGTTTTTTAAAAAAAAAACTTTCATCTGATTGTAGATGTGCTTATACTATGCTCAACTTATGCGGCCATTGACTAATCTACAAATTACTTATTTATAATATCCATATTATCTATATGATCTATATGATCTATAAACTATATCTATATGTATGTATATGTATATGGGGTCTTTGCCTTGAAAATGTCCTTATAGGATATTGTAATTACTATGTCCCGTAGGGAAATTTTCAAGGCAAAGACCCCATATACAAATATATATATATAGATATATATAGATATATATAGGTATATATAAGATATATAGGTATATATAGATATATATAGATATCATGTTTCTTTTTGAAATATATAGCATTTTCTATGGTCAATAAATTGCCCATCATTTTGGATGTGATCCTAGAACCGATGAAATAACCGATGATTAAGCAATCTTATGTTTGTTGTACGTAAAAAAAAGTTCAATCAAATGGTACGTATTTGTCGTTCAACAACGGCTGTTAGCTTCTTTACCTTTCCTTTTATATGACGTTTTTTTGCAGGTGCCTAATCTATATGCTTGCTTACATTATCGTTCCAAAGTTATGTAGTCATGCAAAATAGTTTTGATTTTAGATCCGAAAATTTTCGCAAAAATTAAATTTGTTGATTTCGCCAAATAATAATATTTATCTCTAAATAGTCTTCGAATAGATAAATTGAAATAA